GGCGCCCCGTGGGTCCAGGACACTGGGGGCCGTCGTAGCAGCCAGCACCATCAGGGAGCTGTGTCCTCCCACCTGCCACAGCCCCCCTTAACTTCAAGTTGTGGGAAGGACTTGTGCTGCCTCCCCCCGCCCCACCACTCTGCAGGTTCCTTGCGCGGGGCCCCCTGGGCAGGGCAATAAAGAGTTCGACTCCACGTGCGGTCTTGTCCTTGTTTTCTCCCTTCAGTGGCCCCTCGCCCCTTCAGCTCGTTTCTTCTGGCTGCCCTGGCGGGGGCCCCGATTGCCAAGGCCATGGTCGAGTCCTTGTCCAGTGCCCACCGCAGGCAGAGCTTACAGGGACATCTGCCCCCCTCAGGTCCCTCCGGCCCCAGGCCCGGTCGTGGGAGCCCCCCCGCCCCTCCAGATCCGCCATCCCAGAGCCCTCTCCTCACGGCAAGTGAGCACGAAACCCTCCCATACTCCCAGCTGGGAAGAACTGGCAGTAGCCTTGGGAGGTGGGGCTGTGCAGACCGGCACCTTGGACCTGTCCCCTCAACCAGGGCTGCACAGCCCGGGAGAGCCAAGAGGGCCTCCCCAGCCCCTGGCCTCTGCCCTATCCATCCGTCATATTGCCAGGTTCCTCTTGCTGACCCCCAGTGATCAGGTCATTGCCCTGCTCTCCAGCAAGACGGCAGCACTTTCTCGTTTCTGGTCCTTTGTTTTCCACCTGTTGAAATCGTGGTCCTTCTTTCCAAGACTTGGCTTCAAAGCCTCTTCCTGGGTGACGTCTTTCCTAACCTTGCTCTATGGCGTGTGTCATTTTAGTTGAACTAGCAAAGGATTTGGTCTCTGAATCCTGAGGGTCTTTTGTGTTCATCCTGACAGCTGCCTTGAGCACAGCCCTAGCGGCTGGCCCCCAGGGCCCTGGAGGGGTCTATCAGCTCATCCCAGACCCTGCAGAGCTGGGGTTTCTCCAGGGCAAGACAGAGGAGCCCCCTCCCTTCTTCATTGCAATTCCATTTTCAAAAATGCATTTTGCATATTGGGATCCATCTGAGGGTTGTTTGGGGGGAGAAGGAGTTCCAGTATGGAGGACAACCACAGCAGAATGGATAGACAAAAGTAGTAAGGTCTGCTCCCGCCCAGCAGAACTTTAAATTAGCCTTGGGGAAACAGGATATGAAGAGGTGGCTGAATGCTTACTGTGTGCTAGGCCTCGTAATGAAGTGTCATTTATCCTCACCACAGCCCAGTGAGGCCGGTGCTGTCGTCCCCATTTTACAGATGAAGCAGGCACAGAGGGGTAAAGTGGTTTGCTCAAGGGCACAGAGGTAGGAAGAGTGGAACCGCATTCAAACCCAGTAGCCTACTTCCTCAGAACCACCCTGTGGCTGGAGCACAAGGGGTAAAGCAGGAAGGGGCTGTTCTCCAAAGGACTGGCTACTGTGACCAAAGAGAAGGGAGAATGGATGCTGGAGGCAAGCCAGGGGACACTCCTTGCTCCAGTCCCAGGAGGTAGCTGCTGTCGCTGCCCTTGTTTTATAAAGGCAGAGGGTGAGGCTTACAGAGTTTGTCACTGATCCAAGTCCACGGGGGACCATGTGGCAGAGCCAGAAGTTTAAGCCCAACCTGTTGGCCTTCAGGCCCCTGCCTCTTCACCTAAGCGCAGTGACAGACTGGAGGCAGGGGAGCCCCAGGAGGAGCGGCGGCAAGTGGGGAGAGCACTCCTGCGGCTGGGGACTGGGGAGCAGCAAAGGAAGCAGAGTCTTTGGGTAAGGATGTGGGAGACAAGGACATCAGAGCCACACTTACGGGCGCGGGGGTCTGGGGGTCAGGCTGAGGAGTAGGGCGGCCCAAGAGTTAGTCAGGGTCTAAGGGAGGCTGGGCTGATTGGGAGCACTTTTGTGAACGAGCCAGAGGGTCACCCGGGTTGTCTGCCTGCACCTTCCAGAGCTGAGGAATGACAGATGAAAGTAGGGCGCCGAAAGGCCCCTCTGACGGCCTTGCGTGGGCAGAACTAGAGGGGCTGAACGGAGGCCAGGAGGCAGGGAGGCCGAGGGTTCCAGAAGAGGTTGGGCCAGTCCTGACACCTGGGCAGTGGGGGAGCAGCAGCGATGGGGGACAGCTGGGGACGGGAGGGGGGCAGTCTGGGTGCTGGCAGCAGGCAGCAGGCGGCCGGGGGTGTTCACAACAGCGGGAACTTGGAAATAAGAGATTTGGGGGTGGAGGATACAGACTTAGGGGACAGCGCAGCTGGGCTGGGGCCAGCGCTGCCTGGGAGGCACATGTGGACAGGGACGGGCAGTGGTTGTCAAAATGGTCTGTTGGAGAGGGGCCACCTGGTACCTTCTCTGTGCTGGCCGGGCACTGTCTGGCCCCTTGGAGTAGGCTCTTCACACCTCCGCCCATAGTTTGCATAGGAGGAAATTGCAGCTCAGCATGGTTGAGACATCTGCTTAAGATCACACGGTGGCAGCGGGTGGCAGAGGAGGAACTCTACTCGGGGTCATCTGACTGCAGTCTGTAATCCTTCCTTGATCCTGCTTCTTAGAAAGATTTCTAACCTTGCTTTCAAAGCAAGTTCCTATCAGCAATTCAGCAGGCTGGGTGGGGCGGCCGCCCATCCTACAGATGAGGCCACTGAGGCTCTGAGGGGTTGGTGCCTGCCCAGCTCACAGGAGGTACAGAATAAGTCTGCAGCGGAGCTGGGGCCAAGCCCCAGGTGTCTCCCACCCACCAAATCAGCTCCGGGTTCTCTGAAAGCTGAGGCTTGGGTGTGCCCGCAGGGTGCCAGGAGTCCAGGCCCGGTTTTGCATCAGGCCCTGCTCAGAAGGTGTTTCCTCCTTCTCAGGGGCAGCTCCTCCGGGCTGCTGGTTGAGTCAGCCTTAGTCCCTCTCTGCTCTGCTCCCCAAGTTCAGCTCTGAAACTCGGCTGCCAGCAGTGCAGGAGAGCCCAGGTCACCCTGCGAAGGTGTCTGATCCATACTGGACCCCTACAGGTAACACACCTCAGGGCCAGGGTTCCCTGCCAGTGTCCCAAGGAGCAGACACTGCCACCTGGTATCCTGGGTATCCTCTGGGGCCTTGGGGGTCGGGGGAGAGGGGAGTGGGTCTGGGACTGGAGCATATTGACCAATGGGTCTGTCCCATAGTATTGAACCGGAGTGGGGAGAACCAGACACTGGATTCGGCCTCTAGAAGGAGAGGAACTACAGGGAGGGGGTGCTGCTGGGGACCCTAGGCTCAGATGCCCACAGCCCAGCCCAGGTGGACCTGCAGGACATCCTCCACCTCTATACTCCTACACACGCCCCCCCGGGGTCCCCGGGGCCCCAGAGCACACAGCACGACACAGCCCAGACACACATCCAGCAGAGGAAGAAGTACACAGGGCACATACCACACCGTGCTGTCACCCAGCAAGTCACTGAACAAGACAACAGTCACCCACACGGCGTCACATCGTGCCATGATGCACCGACACACAGGCAGTGATACAGTATTCTCACCCACAAAACAAACAGCCTCATAGACGCCACTGTGTGCAGAGCCTGGGCCATACTGAGACTCGCAAGGGCACATCACACAGGCGTGGGCCCTGGGCCACAGGAGAGCCCCCGGCCGTGCGTGTGCGGCACCCAGCACTTTGAACACAGCGGACGTTCAGGAAGTATTGTTAATACGGGGCATACACGGTACTCTGTAAAGACAGCAACCCCAAGCCCGCGGGTTGGGGGGCAGCAGAGGGAGAAGGCGCTCTCGGGCTTGGGCACTGACTCACAGCAGCGGGCACAAGCCAGGACTCGCCTGCCAGAGAACCCTCTTCCCATCTCAGGCCTGCCTGGTGTCCTGACATGGCCTGGGAGGGGATGGGAGGGGCAGCAGGGGAGGAGAGACGGCCCAGGGGGCTCAGGCCATGCCTCCGCTCTGGCCACGGCTCAGTCACGGGCCCCTTGCCACGTCCACATGCCCCTCGGAGCTGGGCAAATGTTTTCCTTCCGGAGTCACCGTGGTACCTGAGCAGCCTGAGCCGCTTTGCAGCACTTGGCCTCCACCACCAGATCCAGGTCCTGGGCCAGGGGAAGGGGGAGAATCCATGTGGCCAGAGCAGAGGGGCCCAGGGGCTGCAGGCAAGAGGGCAGGGCTGGCAGCAGGGGTATCCCTGGCTGGAGGCCTCAGAGGGAGTGGGTACAGTGGTTACCTCAGCGGGGAGGAAGCGGGGGTGTGGGCCAGGGAGGAGGTTGCCTCAGACAGGAAGGCCAAATGAGCCAGGGCAGGGTGTAGGTGAAGGGTGGAGGGAGGGAACCATATTGGACGGTTCCCAGGGAGGGGGCGGTGAGCAGATAGGTGTGTGTGCCTGTGCGTCTGGGCATGCGTTTGTGTGTGTGTCTTCCCCATGTGTGTACAGGTGTATTTCTGCATTCAATTAATCAAACTTCTACCAACCGTCTGTTGTGGGCAATATGTGGGCTTTTGGGGTGAGGCCCTGTCCCTGTCTTCAAGGAGCTCACAATCCAGTTGGTGGAGGGGCAATGTGCATGCAAAAGTCAGTGTGATTTGTGTGTATCTCGGGTCATATTTTTGTCCCGAGTTATATATTCTGTGGGGCCTCGTGTGCAGGTTTCAGAATATATCAGGCACATCCCCTGGTGTGGGCATGGGTCTGGGTCTAAGACCACATAGGGTCCTTGGTGGGGGATGGGTGTGCATGCGTCTATCTATGCAGGTATGGGTGCACCCGTGTGATCAGGTGGCCATCTCACTGTGGGTGCACATCTTCAAGTGTGTCTGTATGTCTGTGAGCCAGTGCGTGCACGGGTCCATGGGTCCATGGGTGTATCTCATGCCACCTTGAGCTCAGCCTTCCTGGAGTCGTACGGTGCCCATCACCTGGGCATACATTTGGGCAGAAAAGAGCAGCCAGCTCCAGGATGTGCCCTGTATTTGGGCAGGGCTTGACCTGCCCCCTTGATCTGCCCCCCAGGTCGCCACGTGTGCCCAGCTGGGGCACTGCCCCAGCTGATGCCCCAGAGGGGCCACCCATCTCAAGAGGGGCTCCGGGCCCTGCCCGGCCTCCTCATGGCACACAAGCCACAGCCTGAGGCTGATGGATTGTTGGACCTCAGCTTCCTGACAGACGAGGAGCAGGAGGCCATTGCCGACGTCCTGAAGCGAGATGCCCGCCTTCGCCAGTTGGAGGAGGGCCGGGTCAGGTGAGGCAGGTCAGGGGAGCCCGGGAGGACGGGGCCTCGGGCACTGGGAGCCCAAGTGCGCCCCTGCTGCCTCCTGATGTGTGGCCTGTCAGATATCTGGGTGGTTCCTGTTTTTGCCCATTGGTCACCTCCGCCCTTAACCAGCGCTGCTCTCTACCTCACCCAAGGTGGCTGCGCCAGCTCCCTGACCAGCCTTCCTGCCTCCAGGCTTGCCCTCTCTGACCCACTGGTCATGCTGCAGCTGGAGCTCCCCAGATCTGTCCTTAATATCCCCTGCTGAAAACGCCCATGGTTCCTCAGCACCTCGTGTCAGGGGCAAGCTCCTAAGTGCGGTCCGCAAAGCCTCCCTGATTAGTCCCTGCCAGCCTCCCCGGTCTCATCCTCCACCAGTAACCCCCGCCCCTGACGCACATACCCACAGTGTCCACTGGAGCCACTCAAGGACTTCAGAGTCCCTGAACACACCCTTCACTTCTATGCTATTCCTTCTTCCTGGAAGAGCACAGTGGCTGAGGAGCATGGGACTTACAAGTAGTGTTTGGGGACAGACAGACACCTCTTAGCTATGTAACCTTGGGCAACTCACCTGACCTCCCCAGCATCACTCTCCTCATCTGTAAAATGGGGCTAAGGAGCATTAGCTCATAGAATTAGGAGGAGGGATTATGCACAGTAGTCACTTAATGAATAATAATCATTCTCCTTCTCTGCCTGGAGAACTCCAGTATGTCCTCCAAGAAGCAATTCAAATGTCACCTCCTCTGGGCAGCCCTCCTAGATTCCCACAGGCAAAGCTGGCCCTTCTCACATCCATCATGGCACCCACCTCATTATAGTGTACTTGTCTATTCTGGATCCAGTCTCCCCATCAACCTGAGCCCCTTGATCCAGAGTAAGGATTGAGTCTGATTTGCTGTTGTGTCCCTGGCCCCAGGTACAGGGCCTGGCACAGAGTGGGTGGCAGGAATGTTGGTTGGGTGACAGCCATGCCCTCCCCCATCCTCCAGCAAGCTTCGGGCCTCACTGGCAGACCCTGGGCAGCTGAAGATCCTGACAGGAGACTGGTTCCAGGAAGCACGCTCACAACGGCACCACCATGCCCACCTTGGCTCTGATCTTGTCCGAGCCTCTATCCGCAGAAAGAAGAGCTCCCTGGGTAAGCGGAGACCCCCCCGCCCCGGGTCAGGCTGGCTTCATACAGCCCAGGGCACTGGGTGTGTGTGGACAGGAAGAGAGGGCCCCTGGTACTGTGTGTCTTCGGGTGGGCACCACCCCTCCACGAGCTCCGGGAGGTGAGTGAGCATCTCCAAAGGCCAGACTTCCTGAGACCGAGGGTTCACAGAACTTCTCACCTGGGCACAGGAGACCAGGCTCCAGGCAGCGATGGGGAGGCTGAAACTGCTGAGAAAGGAGCTGAAGAGGCGCTGGAGCCCAGGTGAGGAGGGCCTGGCAGGGAGGGGAAGGTGTTTACCAATCCCCTGGGGGCCAATCCCCTGACAATCACCTCTCCCTTCTCCTAGGCTCCCCATGGACAAGGCACCCCAAGAGATGCTCACCAAGGCTGAGGTGAGTCATGAGGGACTGAATGAGCTAAGGAATGAGCTTACAATGCCCCTGAAGTGGAGGCGGGATGTGAGACTCAGGAGACCCAGGTCTGGGCCGTGTCACCCTTCTCTGTCAAATGGGGATACGGACCTGGCCTCTAAGGGAGTCTCAGAATCTGGCTATTAGGGGTGGTGGGGGACTGAGCTGGGTGAGGTTCAGGACTCAGATACTACTGTCTGCCACCAGTGGGACCCTGGGAGTCAGGCAGGGCAGTCCCTGACGCGCAGAAGCGGGTGTGCCGTGCAGGCCTCACTGGTCCTGCAGCTGGTTAGCTGCTTGCCAGCCCCGCCTAGAGGGCTGTGCTAAATCAATCTGGGGTAGCCAGCTGGAGCCTCTGGCCTCTGACCCCACCGTGACTTTTGACTCCTTCATCACTAGTCCCCACCGTGACCTCTACCCCTTGCTTCTTTCAGAAACCTGATTTCCCCTCACCATATGTCCCGCTAAAGGCTTCAGATCATGAGGAAGAGCCCCAGGCCCAGGAAGGTGAGTGGGAGGGTGTGAGTTGGGGATTCCAGAAAGGTTTTGGGGGCCAGAGGCGTCTCTAAGTGACCCCAACCACCTGTGTTCACCTTCCTTCACCTTCTAACTCTCTCCTTGGTGCATGAGTATGCGCGCGTGCGTGTGTGCGTGTGTGTGTGTGTGTGTGTGTGTGTGTGTGTGTGTGGTCTCAGGGGCTTCCCACAGCACTGGGGCTTGAATCTGCAGGTCCCGGGGGTGGCAAACCAGTCCTTCCAAATTTGCTTAGGGGCGGGCGGGAGAGGGCCACGCTCAGTAGCTTCTGCCCCACCCCAGACCCGAGCCCCGGGGACTCGCAGGTCTTTGCAGAGGAGGCGGACCCGGAGCCGGAGCCGCGGTCGCGGGGAGCGGAGTCGCCGCCACCGCCAGCCCAGGTAGGCGGGAGCGGCCCGCGGCTGCTCCCAAGACCCGGAGCGGATTCTGGGCGGGGAGTGCCCCTGCCCCGGGCTGAGAGCCGTCGGGGGAGGGGCTGGGAAGGAGAGGACGGCCCGTCACTTCCACCTCACCTCCCCAGACCCAGACGGCGCCCAAGATCCTGGAGAACGGGGAGGAGGCTCCGGGGCCCGGCCCCTCACTCGACCGCATGCTCAGCAGCAGCTCCTCGGTGTCCAGCCTCAACTCCTCCACGGTGAGGGGTGAGGGCTAGGGCCTGGGGACGGAGGAGACGGGTGGGGGATGCTTACCGCCCCCCGCCGGCCTTATCCCCGCGCAGAGCCCCGGCCTAACCCCTCCCTTGCCCCCTGATCTGAGCACCTCCCCCCGACCCCGGCCCGGACCTGAGCCCTGCACCCCCGCCCTGACCTCCACCCCCGCCCGCAGCTGAGCAGCAGCCAGCTGAGCCTGTCCGGGGAGGCCGAGGCGGGCGCGGTGCAGGTGCGCGGCTCGGTGCACTTCGCGCTGCGCTACGAGCCGGGCACCGCCGAGCTGCGCGTGCACGTGATCCAGTGCCAGGGCCTGGCGGCCGCGCGACGCCACCGCTCCGACCCGTGAGTGCCCGACCCGCTCTCACCGCCCCACCCTAGCACCCTCCTTGGCCTGTCTTCCTCGTCTTCAAAATGGGAGTATCAACGTCCTTAGGAGGCGTGGGGATTGAGTGAGAAAACTCCTGGGAAGCCCTGCACGGGAAGCTGTGTTCTGGGCTGGGGCTGGGGAGGCCCCCGGGGGGTGGGGAGGTAGGAGCTGGGAGGGCCCCCACCATTAAGCTCGGGTCCTCCCCTGGCCTCCCACGCTCCAGCTACGTCAAAAGCTACCTCCTCCCGGATAAGCAGAGCAAGCGCAAGACGGCGGTGAAGAAACGGAATCTGAACCCGGTCTTCAACGAGACTCTGAGGGTGAGGTTGCGATGACCGGGCGGCCCCCCATTAATGAACGGGACGCCCCTTCCTGCGGGGGCCGGCTGGCAGGGGCAGCCAGAGTATGGTCGTTGCCGGTCGCTCCGATCCTCCGCTGTGTGGGAGGAACGGCCGGGAGGCCCTCCGTCCATGCATTCTCCTGTGCGTCAGTGTAGTGCCGGGCATGGCGCTAGCCCAGACCCCCATGAAGGCCCTTCGGGCCCCCTCCGGATTCCCTCGTGCAAGGAGCGCGGTAGGACAAGCCCCCGTCCACACTCCCGCAGCGCTGAAGCCGGGGCCAGCCGCCGTGGTCCGTTAAAGCGCCCCTCCTGTCCCCAGTACTCCGTCCCGCAGGCCGAGCTCCGGGGCCGCGTGCTGAGCCTGTCCGTGTGGCACCACGAAAGGCTGGGTCGCAACGTCTTTTTGGGCGAAGTCGAAGTGCCTCTTGACACGTGGGACTGGGACTCTGAGCCCACGTGGCTCCCCCTGCAGCCCCGGGTGAGGCAGCCCGTCCGGGTGGGGAGACCCCGCGGCGCAGGTGTCCCGCCTGCACCCCACCGCACTTTCCCCCAGCCCCCTCAGACTCCGCTTTCGGCCGAGCCTCCCCTCGGCCTCGCAACCGTACTGCCCCTCGGCGGCTGGTTTGGTCCTCCCGGCGAGCCGCGCCCCATCGGAGTCTGGAGACCCCACCCCTTTGGCTGCCCGTTTCCCTGGGACCTGCTCCCGCCCCTGACCAAGCCGCCTGTCGCCTCTCGCAGGTCCCGCTCTCTCCCGACGACCTCCCCAGCCGCGGGCTGCTCTCCCTGTCCCTCAAGTACGTCCCCGCCGGCTCCGAGGGTGAGTGACCGCCCCGCGAGAGGCCACGCTGGACAGGCCCTGGGAGGAGGGGGCCACCGGTCCCGCGAGGGTGTGGGGCGGCGGGGCCTGAGCTGAGCCTCTCCGCAGGCGCGGGACTGCCCCCCACCGGGGAGCTGCACTTCTGGGTGAAGGAGGCTCAGGACCTCGCGCCACTGCGCTCAGAAACGCTGGATACCTACGTACAGTGGTGAGGGGCATCGGGACCTCCCGGCTTCCCTTCCTACCCACTCCCCAACACGCTCTGGAGCTCCCCACCTCCGATAAACCCCTCCTAACCAACCACCCTTGATGCCCCCCCCACCGCCCCCAGTCTGATCTTTGACCACTGTGCAGGGGTGAAGGGGACAACTTGAGCAAAAGCCTGGAGTCAGGAAAGTTAAAGACATCCTTGAGGAGCTGCATTTCAGGATGACAAGCCATAGGACTTGGAGAGCTGAGGCTGGGGCCTGGGAGGTCACAGGGGCTCTTCCATGAAAAGAGCTGGAAGGCCAGGCTGTGGGGCTTGGCCCTGAACTTGCAGTTCAGTGGTTTTCAAAGTAAGCTCTGGGGGACCTCTAGAGGTGCCTCCAGGTGCTACCCCACACTCAGAGAGTGAAATGAAGTTAGGGGGATCAGGTTTTAAATTCCCAGCCCTGATTCCACACACAGACATTGTTTTGCTTTTACTTCTGAGTAATATTTTATCTTGCGGAAAGGGTTCTGAGGCTTTAAAAAGTTTGGAAACTACTTCTGGGGGCAACAGGGAGCCAGTGAAGGTCACTGTGCAGGGAAGTAGCAGAACTGTATTTCAGAGGCATTACTCTGGGTCCTGCAAATAAGAGTTGTAACTTTAAAAACAAGAAGCCTGAGAGGTGGTTGGCCCAAAGGTCAACGAGTAGTGAAGGTCTGAGGCCAGGTCCCAGGTGGGAGCCAGAGGGCATGGACATTGTGAGGGAGAATGGGTAGGATTTGGTGACTGGTTGGTTCTGGGGGCTGTGAGGGGATAGCCACTTGATTGCCAGCTCACCTCCCCCACAGTTCAGTGCTGCCTGATGACAGCCGGGCCAGCCGCCAACGGACAAGGGTGGTACGACGCAGCCTCAGCCCTGTGTTCAACCATACCATGGTTTATGATGGCTTCGGGCCTGCTGACCTGCGCCAGGCCTGTGCTGAGCTCTCCCTCTGGGACCATGGGGCCCTGGCCAGCCGCCAGCTGGGGGGTACACGCCTCAGCCTGGGCACCGGTGAGCGGGGCAGGGCCCTGGGGAGACCTGATGCTGAGAGATAGGGGCTCAGTGTGTGGCCTTGGGCAGGCACTTCTCCGCCCTTTCCTCAGCTTTGGTGTCCACTGAGAACTGGGAGTGGCACTGCATAATCTGGGAGCTGGCAGGTATTCCTTGGGACCTAGGGTGTCCAGTGTGACCATGCCCTTCACCCCTCTGCACATGTCCAGGCAGCAGCTATGGGCTCCAGGTGCCCTGGATGGACTCCACACCGGAGGAAAAGCAGCTGTGGCAGACACTCCTGGAGCGACCGTGTGAGTGGGTGGATGGCCTTCTGCCCCTCAGAACCAACCTGGTCCCCAGGACATAGCTGCCCTACAAGCACCACCAAACTCCTCTCTGGAACCCCGTCTCTGGGCCTGCCCTTGGCTAAAACCAATAAAGTCTATTCTAAGGGCAGCAAGGGGCTGGTGTCTGTTTCTGGGCTGCGAGGGTGATGGCAGGAAAGGCTGAGGGAAGTGAAGGGAACAGGTGAAGGAACTTTAGACTCAGACCAAAAGACCTTAGGGAGCTGGTCCCAGAACCCCCCCGCCCCCCATACCTCAGAAGGCCCAAATGTACAAAGGTGTTCTGTTTAATAGTCTTTGCCTGGTGGTACCTGATGAGCTTGGGGCATCTCTGTGGTTGATTCTCCCCATTGGGGCTAGGCCTGGGCCCTACCTTGCCCCCACCCACCTGGCCTCCTCCAGTTGGCCCTGAGTCCTGGGGTGGGGGCATCAGGAGCTGCTTGTGTCTTCTCCATTCATCCATCCTTGGGTCCTGCCTCCCATCTCTGAGCTCTCATTCAGCCTCCTGTCGGCCAGGGGTAACTGGCGTGGATCCTGCTCGCTGTGCCAAGATGGCTCTCCAGATGCGGCATACCATCCCTCCCCTGGGGAGAGCAGGCTCAGTGTGGCTCAGTCAGAATAAGGCCCTGGACTCTCTGTTACCCCACTGTCTGCCTGATGTAGCTGGGGGGTCAGGATCTGGCCACCATGGAGCCATATGCATGGGTCATCCCTGGATGGCTCAGGACATACCTGATGCGGGTGTAGATGAGGTCATCTCGAGTGGCGCAGGTCAGTAGAGTACGGAGGGTGAAGCTGTGGTTCAGCAGCTGGTTGTGGACAAAGACCCGGATGCAGAAACAGTGGAAGAGAAAATCAGAGGAAGATGTGTCAGAGACCCAGGTACTAGCTCTGTTCTGCTACCAATATGCTACAGGGCAGGTAACACCCCTCCCGGGCCTGTTTTCTCATCTGTACCATGGGGGGGAGGGGGTTACACTAAGTGCTCTTCCAGTACTGAGATTCTCTGCATCAGGGAAAGAGTGAGAAGAGCTGAAAGATGGGCAGAGACGGAGTCTTTGGTGGGTGGGGGTCAAGGGTGGCCAGCACTCTCCCCCTCACCATCTGGATGGTGCCTGAATCCACGTTCAGTCCTTGTAGCCACTGCACCAGGCCCTGGTCCACCGTGAGAGCAGCTGTGGAGGAGAAGTCAGGTGGTCAATCCAGGGGTACCTCCTGGCAGAAGCCACTTCGCACTTGCTGTGAATGTTCCCCAGCCAGGTCCCACTCACCTGGGGGCTCGGGGGCCAAGGCGCAGGTCCCGGCCTCCCCGTTCACCCGCTGTAGAGCTTGCTGCACCAGGGCCTGGCACTCCTGTTCTTTCTCAGCCAGGACATCTCGGAGCCTGTTGGAGAGCGCAGAGGCTGAGCCAGTAGAATGGAGTGGGTGGGGCGGGGAGGGTGAAGCTGGCCCAGAGGCCAGGGGCAAGTCTCAGGGGCTTTACCTGTCAGTCTCTGCTCGCAAGAGGCCCAGCTGCACCACTGGGGTTGGGGGTGCCTGCTCTGGTTCCCCCGGGAGCCGGCTGAGCTGGACCGAGGTCTCCTGCTGCTTGGACTGGGGTTCCTCTTTACTCGACTCCTCTGACCTCGGTGGGACCTCCTCCGTCTCCACCTCTGCCAACCCAAGTGATTGGGTGAGCTCCGGCAGGGAGAGAACTCCCATTTGGGACACCCCCCCCCCCAAACACCCGGCAGAGGGCGCAAGGCTCTGGGTACCCAGCCGCTCCTTCCCGCCCCTGTCGCGGCTAACCCCCGCCAACCACGCCCCCTAGCGGCCTCCGGTGTGCACGTCACGCCCGCAAGGGGGTCACACCCTCGCCGGCAGGCAAGATAGCTCTACTCCCCGGTTTACCTGGGCCCAACACAGCCAGGGCTACCCGCACCGCTCGGCTGAGCAGCGAGTCCAGCGCGAACATCCAGTGTGGGCGGATCTGGCGCCGGCGGAGGATCTGCTTCACCTGGAGAGGGAGAAAGGGCGCGGCGAGCCTCAGAGGTGGGGCTCGAGTTGGAAAGACCTAGAAAGTCTTGCGCCAGAGGCAAGTTGGGTAGGCGGGTTTGGGGCAGAGGGAGGAGCTGGGAAGCTAGGATTGGGTAGATGTCCCTTGGCAGGCTGTATCTTCCTGGGGAAGACAGGCAAACTTGCAACATCAAGTCCTTGTACAGTGCCAGGCACGGGGAGCTCACTATCTATTATTGGGCAGTCTGAACCGCAAGAAAGCTCCCTCACCGCGTCCGGGAAAGCGAAGAGTGGTCCGTGCAGAAGCGCAGGCCCGAGGCCTTGGGCCCGCAGCTGCCCCTGCAGCGCCCGCAGCTCCTGGGCCAGCTGCCGGCGGTTGGGAGTGTGGATGTGCGCCCCGAGGCAGCGCAGTAGCTGTTCCACATGATTCCTGCCCAGCCAGGGTCCCTGCGGAGGAAGAGGGGTTGTCAGTGGGTGGGCTCCCACCTGAGCCAAGAGAGCTGCGGGCGGGCAGGCGGGGGAGGGGGAGGGGGGGAGGCGTGCGGGAGGCCATCAGCCGGCTTCCTGGCCGGGGCGCACGGCCGGCCGGCACCCACTTGGTCCTGCTTCCGGCTCAGGCTGCTGGCCAGCGCGGGCAGCTCCTCCTCCAGAACGGCGGCCAGCATGGCCCGGCGCTTGCTCTCCTGGTGCAGCAGGCTCAGCCCGCAACTCTCCTCAGGGGACGTGGGCTCCTCGGCCCCGGCTTCCTCGGGCACCCTAGTGCAATGGGGGGCTGCGGCTGGACGGCGGGCGGCAACATGGCCGGCCGCCTCCACCCCAGGCTTTGAATCCTGGCTCTTCTACTTGGCCGCCTACCTCACACGGGGTAAGACAGAGAAGCCTGGAGCTGAGGCGGCACAATAATTACAAGTCGGAGCATCTGGGAGGAGGCACCCAATGCCATCCTCGCAAGTGGCTGGAGGTGCCCAGGCCCCCAAAGGGGACTTTTTCCGGAGGGAGTACAGGGGCAACCCCAGATGAGGCAAAGCCACTCCAAGACCCTGGGCTCTCACCGGAGCTGGCTGGTGTCTCCATAACTGAGGCAGCGCTTCGAGGGACTGGGTGGGTGCTGAAAGGGTGCCTGAGGGCGTGGGAATGTCTGGGGCTGGGTGGTCGGGTCAGCTGAAGGAGTGGGGCTGGCTGAAGGGGCATCTGAGGGAGGGATGAGGCCGTCAGCCTGGGCCCCCCCATTCAGCCCCCTCCCTCACCCCAGTGCGCCCACTCCCTCCACCTGCATGTTACCTGAGGGCCGCAGTGCATGTCGGGGGGAGCCGGGGCTGCGGCTTCTCTTCCCGGGCTGCAGGAAGGGGTCCCCCAGCAGTGCTGGAGCACTGGCTCGGAGGCGGGGGTCTGGCTCAAAAGTTCGGAGAAGGAAGGCTTGGGCCTCCGCTGACAGAGAAGTGGGCACTGGCGGATGCACCTTGTACATGCCCACCTGGGAGGGGTCAGGGAGGACAGACAAAGGTCAAGTTTCGAGGTGTTCAGGGCTCTGTCTGTCCCCACCCCACCTCATGAGCTAGGCCGTGAGGGGTCTCACCTGAAACATGGCAGCCTGCGGGCTCCCTAGCTCATGGAAGGGTGGCCGACCTGTGGCCATCTCGATCACAGTGCAGCCCAGTGACCAGATGTCAGCTGCCTTCCCATACCCTCGTGGGCCCTGGTCAATGATTTCTGGCGCCATGTACTGTAGGGTCCCTGGGGCAAGAGAGGTAGCCACAATGCTCACCTGGGCTTGAGATGATGCGGGGCTGGCAGGGGCTCTCATCCTTTAGCCACCGGTGCCCACCCTGAACTCTGTCATCCAAACAATTCCCATCACCTACCCTGGTGGTCAAACATCTATCCTGAGTTTCCTCACTCATCTTGGGCTCCATCACATTCTGACTTCCTCACCCACAGTAGTGGATCCTGGACAGCATCATCCCCTCTGAACCCCATCACACACTTTTGCCCGCATTGACACTTCCGGGCTGCATTTCAGGCACTAAATTCACCATCGTCATCTACTCAAGCTCCAGTTCTAGATTCTATCACCTCACCCCTGGCTCAATCACCCGCCCTTGGTTCTGTGCCCCATTAGGGCTCTAACTCCATGGCCAGGAGAAACACCATTCCCTGGAAGTCCTAAGAATTCTTCTGTCCCAGGTCAGCATCTCCACTCCCCACCCCACACCCCATTACCTGTGAAGGTCTCAGTGCAAGGTGTGATGCCTGCCAGCCTCTTGGAGGTGCCAAAGTCAGAAATCTTGAGCAGCCCACTGAAGGTGTTGATCAGCACATTGTCCCCCTGAGTAGAGTGGACATTGTGCTCGGTGGACATTAGGCTGGGCTCCTGATGGCGGAACTGGACCCTATCCCTGGATCCCATCTTCTACAATCGCAGCCTGACCCTGCCTCTATCAGTGTCCTCTCTCTGCCATCCCACTTACGATGGGTGTTGGGAGCTGGGAGCTGGCACCTGATTCGGCTTCAGGTCTGAAGTTCTCTCCCTCCCTAGGGAGCCTCCTTGATGAATTCCCCACCCTTTGCAAAGGGGTCGACCTTCTTAATGTAAATTGCCCAGTCTCTGTGTAGACCCATATGTCCTCCCCCCCACCACCAGCTGCAGGACTTACCTTTATGTCTCGATGCACTATGCGGTTGTCATGCAGATAGCTGAGTCCCTGCAGGATCTGGCGGGTGTAGAAACTGATGGTGCTCTCATTGTCCTGCAGGGGTCCCCACACTGACCGCAGCAAGGAGGACAGGCTGCCTGGGCAGACGCAATCCAAGATCATCATTGGCACCCCCTTACTCCAGCCTTCAGCTCTCTGCTGAAGGCCCAGGCACACTCATGCCATGACCCAGACTCCATCACCACCCAACTGCACTGCGTCAGCTAATTCTGGGCTACCCCACCCACACACACTAGGATCCATTTTCCCCGAGGGTTCCCCACCCCTGCCTGGCCCCATCCCCCTGGCCCACACTTCCAGTTCCACTGCCATCCCACACAGGGCAGGTACCTCCAGGCACTTCCTCCATGAA